TATAACAGAGGGGAAAAAAGCATTGCCTTCATGGACAATTTTCTGGCAGATCTGCTAAAGCTGACTATAAAACATGATCTCTTTTATTTACAAAAATATTATCATAACACGATGTGTAACGAGGCAGGTGGTAGAGGTTGCTGGAGGAACTTTTATAATGACCGTAATATTTTCAAAGTCTGTTAACTTCTCTATTTGTGTTTCTAAAATTCTTTTCTGTTTCAAAGGTTCACCCACTCTGTCACACTTCTTTGTTAATTTAGTTTGAGGGATTTCATGCAGAGCTTTCAAGTCCTGGTATTTTCCCTCACCACTTGTTACCTCCCACCTCTGTGTTCTTGGGGAACCAAAATGCAGGACAATGTAGCACTTTAAAGACTAACAAGATGGTTTATTAGATGATGAGCTTTCGTGGGCCAGACCCACTTCCTCAGATCAAATAGTGGAAGAAAGTAGTCACAACCATATATACCAAAGGATACAATTAAAAAAAATGAACAAATATGAAAAGGACAAATCACATTGCAGAACAGGAGGGGGATGCGGGGGGGGGGGGGGGGGGGAGGAAGGAAGGTAAGTGTCTGTGAATTGATGATATTAGAGGTAGGGAGAGTGGGATGTTTGTGAGTTAATGGTATTAGAGGTGATAATTGGGGAAACTATCTTGGTAATGGGTGAGATAGTTCAAATGTTTGTTGAGTCCTTTTTGGAAAGTGTTGAATTTTAACATGAATGACAGTTCAGAGGATTCCCTTTCAAGTGCAGATGTAAAAGGTCTTTGTAGCAGAATGCAGGTGGTTAAGTCATTGAGAGAGTGTCCTTTCTGGTTAAAATGGCAAGAAACTGTTTTCTCTTTGTGATCTTGTCTGATATCTGTTTTGTGGGCATTAATCCTTTGGCGAAGTGTCTGAGATGTTTGTCCAATGTACATAGCAGACGGACACTTTCGGCACATGATAGCATAGATTATATTTCTGGTTGCGCAGGAATATGTGTTCTTGATCTTATAACTCACTTGGTTAGGTCCAATAATGGTATCAGCAGAATGAATATGTGGACAAAGCTGGCAACAGGGTTTGTTGCAAGGGAAGGTACCAGGGTTGGTATTAGTGTGGTATGTCCTGTGGTGGTTGGTAAGAATCATCTTGAGGTTAGGTGGTTGTCTATAGGAGACTATGGGTCTGTCTCCAAGAGCCTCTTTGAGTATGGTACTCATACTCTTTGGGGAACCAGGCACCCTGCCTGATTCATGAAAAACTCCCCCTCTCAGCTTCTGGTTGAACCAAAGAAGATCAGAAGGAAGACTTACAAAAAACAATGAAAAGGCAGGAGAAGACACACCTGAACCCCTCTGGTCAAGAGTGAGAGGATTTAGGAAACTCCCCTAGCCTCATTTACATCAAGATAGGTCAGAAAGGCATCTCCATTAGCATACAGAATGGAGAACAGAAATTCCAAGGCAAGAACCACACTGAACTCTGGGACTCAAAGAGCCGGGAAGCATTGCTTGTTGGGAATCTCTGCTCCAGATAAACTTAAAAAACAACAAATGGTCTGGTAGCACTTTATAGACTAACAAAACAGGTAGATGGTATCATGAGTTTTTGTGGGCACAGAAGAAGTGGGCTGTGCCCACGAAAGCTCATGATACCATCTACGTGTTTTGTTAGTCTATAAAGTGCTACCAAACCATTTGTTGTTTTTTAAGTTTATCCTGTACAGACTAACTCGGCTACCCCTTGAAGCTTCTGCTCCAGATGTTCATGAACCCATGCCTGTGCACACCTAACTCACTAATGATCAGACCAGTTCTAGCAATAAAGACTTTATTGGTATCTGTGAGAGGTTCAGACCCCATCTCGGTTCCGCAACCACCATCCAAGTTCCGCTGTCTCCTTAATCAGATGCTCAAGTTAATAGGATTCCCTATGCATCTGACGAAGTGGGTCTTTGCCCACGAAAGCTTATGCTCCTACACTTCAGTTAGTCTATAAGGTGCCACAGGACTCCTCATCGCTTTTGCAGATTCAGACTAACACGGCTACCCCTCTGATACTTGACACCTATGGGGAAGTGGGACTCGGGCCCACCCTCTCTCCGAGTCCCAAACCAAGGCCCTAAGAGTGTGGAATCTCCTCCCCAAGCTGGCTGATGGGGCACTACGCCTCAACTCGCCAGCCCACGGGCATTCTCCAAACAGCCCTGCCCTGGGTCGCTTCCTTTCCTGTGGCTCTCACCCTGATGCCTCCTCTCCGTCATAATCTCCGCACACCCTGGTCGCCCCCAGCACCCGCTCCTCCTCTCTCCCCCCTTCCGTGCACAGAGCACCCTTTTTACAGGCCGGATCCCCTTCCCCCACCCATTCCTCCCTTTCCCTGCTGGTTTGCCCCGTATTTCCGGGTCTGGCATCTGACATACCTGCGCCTACACCCCGCTCGGCGCATGTGCTCGGGCTCAGGGACACAACTGGCGTGTCCTCCCCCACGCCCATTCTGGACGCCGCTCCTGCCGGTTCCGAGCCAGCAGACCCATGGCGTTCTGGAGCAGGCCCTTCCTCTGGTGCCCTGACACGGGTGCAGGGCCCCGATGCCCCATCACAGTGTCCAAAATACTGAAGCTGCCTAACTGCATTATGAGAAGGGTTCTGATGCTTGGATCCAAATTCTGCATCAGTTCCACTGAGACTTCATCTTTTCCTGACTGATTCTCCTGGGGGCTCTGCTTGTCTCCAGCCCTCTGCTTGTCTCAGCCACCAACACCACCTGGGGACCCTGTTCGATTCAAGCTGCACAGAATGGTGAGATCAGGCTCTCCCCCTAATTTCCTAACCCTGCCTTAGGAGATCAGTTACGGTTTGCTAGCCCTAATTTTTGTAATCAGATTTAAGTTAGATTGAATATTGTAACTGTTTTGTTTGCATGGCTCCCTTTGTATGGCTATTACTTGGAAATAAATAATTTTCATGGTTAAGCAACTTGCTTCTCTCACCCCACCCTCCCCCTGGTAGGTATTTTTTGCTTCCCCATTTGTTCTGCAGCAATGCTTCTTGTATCTAAAGATCCCTGCGGTGCCCAAACATCCTGTGGGGCTTGCTCAGAAGTGGGTTACCAGCAGAATCATTGTGATTGAAAATGGAGATAGGGATGTGCTGAACCTGAGGGTAGATGGGGGTGGCAGCTTAAAAATTGCTGTTCAACCCAGCCTAGAGTCCAGGGACATATAAGGAGTCATCTTGTGAGTAGGTGAGATTTTGTGTGTGTACATGGCTGAGGTGCGTTTGGGAAGAACCTTACCCTGGGGAACTTAGATCCTACAGAATAGCTCTATTGGGAGGGAATTGGCTGAAGGGAAAAGTAGAGCTCCATATGAAAACACAAGTGACTCAAGCAGCACATTAACAGAATTATCGAAACTCCTCCCTCTTGCTCCCTGAAGAGTAACCGTAATAAATGAGCATAATCCAAAGTGACAGGTAAATCTGTTAGTGTTTAAAACTTTAGTGTTTGCATGACAATCTATCACACATCAAGGTACGGGGTAGTATGACCAAGTGGTGGGAAGTGAAGAATTTTGGAATTCATCAGGATGACAAGTGGGAAATACTCTTAATTATTTCATTCTGTTAATAATGCCAGGCTTTATAAGCTGAGGTGCAAAAATGTCAAGGTTACTCATAAGCTCATTTTAATGCATTACCATTGCACTCCAAATTCATATAGTGCCAAAAACAAATTAGTGGAAACCACCCGCCCCCACAAGGGGTATGATCAAGATAAACATTTTAAAGATATGTTTACCTATCACTAATAGAAAGCTGTAAGTTCTTAAAAATAGAATTTTTACAAATGTAATAACCTGATTTTCAAAGGTGTCCTGTTTTTAATAACTTTTAGCATTGCATTAGTGATAGGTAAGCATATCTTTAAAATGTTTATCTTGATAGTGCGCCTTATGGATTTTTTCCTTTGATTTTCAAAGGTATGAAGCACCTGCCGCTCCCATTGACATCAACTTCGAAAATTTATATTTTCACCATTTACACCAATAGTTACATTTTGCATTTCATTCATTTTACACAGTAACATTTTAGACTGTTCGTTTGCTTTTTCTGTTTCGTGTAAGCTGGTAGAATGATCATGTGCCTGGCTTCACAACTCATAGGAAATGAAAACCAAGATTTTTCACTTTTATAAACAAATATCTATTCATATTTAGGTCTTCTAATTCTTTTAAATAAAACCAAATTTGAATGTGTGACCAAAGGTCTTGAACAAGCAAAGCTCTGAAACATATACGTAATTTCTAGTCTCATTTTAAGTTAAGCACATGGTTAGGTACTTTTCTGGATTGCAGTCCAAAGAATTTACATTGTTCCCATGTATTTCTCTCTCTCTCTCTATATATATATAAAAAAACCTTTTCCTGTGGAATGACAGAGTGATGTCATCATGACACTCTTCATCCTACAGCCCCTCACTCTGCCCTCAGCCACCCTGCTTCCTCCCTCCCCAGTACTTCAGCGAATGGAGCCACACGGCCTCCCCTCTCCTCCCTGCCTTGAGGAGAGGGTGGCAGGTGGAACCATGAGGTCTCCCCCCTAGCAGGGAGAGGTGAGAACCATGCAGAGCTGGAGCTGCAAGGTTACCCCCTCGCAGGAAGGGGCTGGGAACCACATGTCCTCCCCCCCTCATAGGGGGATGGGGCAGAGAGGCCGGGGGCGAGGGGGGAAGAGGGACAAGAGGCTGAGGCTAGCTGTGGCTGGGGGGGAGGGGCCAAGAGGCTGGGACTGGCATGGCCCCAGCCCTCCCCGACAGCCATGGGGATAGTCAGGTCTGCCTACCCCCAGAGACCTGGGGGGTTGGAGGGGGAGGGGTTGGCGAGTAACGAGCAGGGGGCACTGTTCCCTAGTAACTTTAAAGACTATAATATGAAACTAGGTAAGGTGCTGACCAACATCTGCTAAATCTAGGAATCTCATGTATTTTAATTTTTATATATACCTGCTAACTGCACAATGCCATGCCTTGCAACATCATAGTATGGATGATTCATATTTAGTTCAGTGTCTTCATTTGCTGTTGGTGTGGAGGTCTTTTGCTCTTCCATTATTGCATGTTCTGCCTCATCTTTCTGTAATTCTAAAGCAGAAAGCAAGAATTTATAAAATCAATTGCTAAAAAACCTTCTTAATATTGTATGAGAGATAAAACAAGTTGAGATCCACCCTCCATCTCCCAGTGATGTCAGATTTCTTCACTCATTTATTACATTTTCCAAAGGAGCACTTTCATACTTTCTCTTAATTTGGCCTGCATACATAGCAGGGGCTCCCCATAAACATCTGCAGCAAAACTTTCTCATTGCCCTCCTCTTCTTGGCTATGATGCCCTGAAAGACTTGACAATGGTTATGCATTTGTTATTCTGTGACAACTGCTTGTCATAACCACTGCTGTCTTATTGTTTCCTTGTTTGCCTTGTCTGTCACATCTTGTCTTACTTGGATCGTAAGCTCTTTGAAACAGGAAAAAAAACCCACTGTTTGAAACCTTACAGGCCTTGGGGAACATAGAGGGGGAGACAGCCTAAGAAAAGCACTAAGGACCTGATGCAAAATGCAGTCAATAGAAGTTTTTCTATTTACTTCACTGAACACTGGATTGGACTCTCAAGGCCCAAACTACCTTCCATTGAAATTTGCAGTGAAAGGTAAATATAATCCTTCACTGGGCATGGACATGGCATTTCACCAAAAATGAGTGTGACAAGAGATGATCCCAAGCATGCACAGGACTTGGTGTGGGAAAATAAATATCTAAGTGAACAAATACATTGTGAGCTGAATGCAAAGTCACTGCCATTAGTATTTCAATACTTTTCAGAAAACTGATCCTGAGAAACACACTAGAATAAAATTATAACTGATATATTAACATGTAAATTCCCTGATGGCTTAAATTAACAGTGGTGAGATTTAAAGAGGCAAAATTATTGTTCTCCCAAAGCATGCCACTCACTTTATGTCAGCTGTTTCTTTTATCATACAACCCTCCCTGGGTCACTTCCTACCGGTGCAGGTCCGTTCCAGGAGGTCTCTGGATCCTCTGGTTCCCCTGCAGCTGCCTCTCTCCCTGGGGCTCCTCTGGCACTCGTAACTCACGGTGGTCTCCTGGAGCTCTGGGTCCCACTGTCTGAGTCTCTGGTCAGCACGGTTCTGGTGCTCCTGGTGGAGGTCTTTCTCCTTCAGTGCCCAGCTCAAACTGAGCTGTGCTACTGCCTTTTATACTGCCCCAGCATTTGGAACATGCCCAGTCTGGGTTGAGGGGTGGGACTTCCTCCACCCAGAGAGTTTTAACCCCATCTGATTCATGAAGGGCATGCCCTCCCTGTCACAGGGTCCCACTGAGATGCAATCATTTGGACAGGTGGGAATGTTCTGATGAGGCCTTTCCAAAACCTAGCAGATACACATAGAGGGTACGTCTACACTACCCCGCTAGTTCGAACTAGCGGGGTAATGTAGGCATACCGCACTTGCAAATGAAGCCCGGGATTTGAATTTCCCGGGCTTCGTTTGCATAAGGGCTTCATTTGCATAAGCGGGGAGCCGCCATTGTTAAAACCCCGCTGGTTCGAACCCCGTGCAGCGCGGCTACATGGGGCACGAACTAGGTAGTTCGAACTAGGAATGTGAACTAGGAAGCCTAGTTCGAACTACCTAGTTCGTGCCCCGTGTAGCCGCGCTGCACGGGGTTCGAACCAGCGGGCTTTTAAAAATGGCGGCGCCCCGCTTATGCAAACGAAGCCCGGGAAATTCAAATCCCGGGCTTCATTTGCAAGTGCGGTATGCCTACATTACCCTCCTAGTTTGAACTAGGAGGGTAGTGTAGACATACCCAGATAGAGTAACCTTCCACTGGAGAGATGAACACTCCAACTGCCATCAGGTGGACTCTCAAAGAACAGAGGCTGAGATCTGATGACTTTATGGAGAGACTGTCTCATGCTTCTGGAAAGAACATTTTGTACAGCTGAAGAAAACGTCTGTATTAAAGTAAGTTAAAGGCCCATCTAAATACCGTGCTTGAGATGTAGCACACATGGATTAGGATGTCAGATCTCACCATTGCATTGGATCAACAGACAGGTGAAGCGAGGATGGGAATCAATGGGAGGTACTTGAGGAGGACATTGGGAAACCAGAACCATCTTAGCCAGCAGGGGGCAATCAAGCAGAAGGACCATATCGTTGTCTGGTCAGATCTTGTGCAGTTCCCAAAGCAGGAGCAGTAGTGGAGGGAAGGCATAGTTAAGTTAGTCTGACCAGGAGAGTAGGAGAGAATTGCCCTACGAGTGCTGGATGAGGTATCTCTAGGAGCAGTACGTAGGCCATTTGCTTTTCATATACAGGGCCAGTACAACTCTGGTTAGGGTCTCCCACCAGATGAAAATGTGTATTATGGAATTGCAAAGTTCCCCCTTAGGACAGATAGCAAAATGTCTGAAGATTGGGTCTATGAGTACATTTTGTGCCCTAGTGAGAGAGGTAGGCTGCACACAAGAGGACTTAGTGACTGATGCACCGATTCAAGAGACTGACTGCTTCCATTTGCTTATGTGTTCATTCTTGTTCCCCCATTTGTTAACCAGACATAGCGAGAATGTGGTAGGAGTGAATGAATAGAAGAAAAGATTGGCAGGCCTTGCTGTCCAAAGTTCCAGGGTATTTATGTGCAGGCTGGATTCTCTGAGATCCCATGTTCCCTGTGCCATGTGATCTTCCATGTTGGCTTCACATCCTACCAGAGATGTGTTAGTGATGACTGTCTTGTCTGAAAAGAAGGGAAGGAAGGAAACACCCATACACACATGAAATGAGTTTGTCCACCAATGGAGTGATGGCAGTACTTTATCAGAGACTGTCAACATTATAGGTCCATGGAGTGATGATCAAGTGTGACTGGAGTCAAGTCTGAATGCAGTAAAGGTAAGTCATATGGGTACAGGAAGCCATTTGACCAAAGAAGGACGGGCAAGTCCTGGTGGGTACATGAGAACTGTTCTTGATGCAAGTTATGTCACTGATTGTCTGAAAATCTGTCTGTTGGTAAGTAAGTGCAAACTGTGACAGAGTTTATTGAAGCTTGGGGATCAATTTCTTAATGTTGACACTACCCCGAAGAAAAGAGGGGAGGTTCAGTAGCATTGAAGACACTTGTTGGGCTTCTTTTGCCTGGAACTGCAAAAGCCTTCCATGAATCCAACAGTCAACTGTCCCACTCCAAACTGATTGGTGACTGATTGGTAGCTGTCCGGAGTAGCCAATTTTCACAGTGCAATCACCACGCATTTCTCTACTGGTAGGGTAGCTCTCAACATTGTGTGAGCTCCACACATAATCCCAAGAAAGTGGTTTTCCTCATCTGACAGTTCTGCAGTCTCTACTCATCAACCCAGACTTGCATGAGGATGTGATCCCACCACTCAGTGCTTGTTTCCCGAGCCCAAAAACAGCTTTCCACTGTGGTCTGCCCCTTTGTGAATGTCACAAGCAATCTCATGTTGTAGCTACTACACGTGGCAAGATCAATGTCAGATTCCTCGTTCTCACGTAGTTTAAGGAATAACTCGATTGCCATTCTTGACATGTTAGTGAGACCTATCAGCATTTTCTCCAACAGTTCAGAATCCATTCCCGTAGGTCAAGGGGGCAGAGCGCACAGCATAAGCCTTTAAAAGATGGCACCGAAATGTGGACAGAAGCACGGGGTAGCTATGATGTGACGTGATGCACCAAGGATCACTGGGACAGGACTAAGGCTGCCTGACCCCCACCTCCACCTTCCCACGAGCCTCAGCATCAGAAGATGATGAGATGCTCTGTGGAATAGCTGCCTAGGGTCCCACTCCAAATGCCTCAGAAAGGGATGCAAGTGTGGTCACGCTATTGTGCTAGCAGCTGACCATGTGAACACACAACAGCAGTTTCCCTGCTGTACTCTGTGAGCAGTGCTTTACATCTGCCAGTGTAGACACGCCCTAAATCTTAGAAAAGAGCTGTAGCTGTTTGTGACCTCCACTCAGCTGAAAGATAAATTCATACCATTACCTACAAATTTATACTCCCTTAACTTTTAAAAATGATGAACTACAAAAGCAAAAATACAGCCGCACAGCTGGACGCTGTGGCTGTAAGGACAGAACACCAATGCTTAGCTGGCTGGGAAGTAATGATAATAACGACAACATAGACATGATTTTTTTTTAAATACAACTCCCCTCCCTCCCCAAAAAACCTAACAACCCTACGCCCCAACTTAAGAACATATTAAAAATCAGAAAAAGAACAACTGTGTTCAATTTTGCTTCTGAATTTCAAGTTCCTGCACAGTATAACCAACCTGAGTAAACAAACAAAAAACAATAAAGGGGAAAGGCACAGAAAGAGTTGCACATTGACACTATGGGGTAAGCTAGAGGGAGTTGCCCCTTGGGGCAGCAGCGTGTAAAGCCTTGTGTGAATGCACATGTCTACAAACGGCAGTGGGGTTGGGGATGGAACAGCCACAAGGCCAGGAAGAGCTGCCAGCGTAGGGCACTGGCTCCTGGGAGTGGCGCCACCATGCTCCTTTCCTTTAGCAACAGTGGCTGCTGGAAGTGGAGCCCTGTGGAGCAGTGGTTACCAATGTCTATCTGTGGGTAGATATTTGTATCTGCACAGCACTCTAGTGTGGGGTTGGGGTTGGGCTAGGGCCAGGCATGTAGGGAGCCTGCCTTGGCCTCGCTGCATGGCCAACCTGGACCTCATGGGGGTAAGTGCCACCTAGCAGGAGGCCTTCACCACAACCCTCAGTCCCTTCCCAGAGCCAGAACCCCCTTCTGCACCCGTCCCCCTCTCAGAGCCAGCACCTCCTCCTGCACCCTGCTCTCCCTCCCAGAGCCAGTACCTACTCCTGCACCCCTGCCCCATCACTGCTCCCCTCCCTGAGCCAGCTTTCGTACCCCCTCCAGCACCTCAACCTCCTGACCCAACCTTGACTCCCATCCCAGAGCCAGCACACATACCCCTTTCCTGCACCCAACTCCCCTCCTGCACCTTAGGCACCCAGCCCTGACCCCTCTTTTAGAGCCAACACCCCATACCTCCTCCTGAACCCCAAATCCCAGACCTGAGCCCCTTCCCAGAGCCAATACCCATACCTCCTTCTCCAGAACCTCAACCCTCTGCCCCAGCCCAGTAAAAGTGAGTGAGGTGGAGTAGAGCAAGTGACAGAGTGAGGGGGGAGGGGGAGGGAGAGTGAGGGAGGGCTTTGGGAAAGGGGCAGGGAGGATGAGTTGCCCTTAAATTCCAAAAGTGATCTTGGGAATGAAAAGGTTGGGGAACCACTGCTTTCCGATAATCATGAACTATTTTGAGACTATCTATCTTAAATGGAAAATTATCTCAACCAGTTTAACGATTCCTGTAACTATTCTTTAATTTTTTGCAAAGGTAGAAGGGAGGATGTCTCAGAGTAAAAAATGTTCATTGCTTCCAACAGAGAATAACGCACTGACTGTGTTTTGCCTATACAGTACATTATATAGGCAGCCCACCGTTTGTTTGCAGCCCACAATGCAGTTTGTTTTTATGAGGGGCTCAACACGTGGTCCATGGATGGGAGCCAAAACAAAAAAGTAGTCAATATAATGGTCTCCTGTTGATATACATTTTAGTAGCTAAATTACTGGACTGTCATTGCTCACAGAAAGTGCTGTCATATGGGTGGAAATTGGGTAAATATTGCATTTTATTAATATCAGCAGAACTGACTTAAATGAGGCCTATGTGTTGTGTAGTCTTGCCTTAATCTTTATATTCATGCCCGTCAGTGTGAAAGAAGCTACTTGCATATATTTACATATATATTTGCATGTATATGCAACCACACTTAAGTTGCAGTCCTCCGCATGTGATGGGAGTATCATTGAGGCCCCTGGGGCTTCCAAAGTTGAGTAGCTCTGCTATATATGATAGTTCATCACTCTGCTTCAGTTCCTACTGTTACCCTGTCTATGAGGGAAAACAAAAAGCTGGCTCCAAAGCCTACTGAGGCCAGCCAATAGGACCCCAATCTCCATTGACTTAACTGGATTTTGGCTCAGTCCCCAGGACTAAAACGACTTGCCAGCTACTGTGGAAGGACATTATAATTGGGAAATCAAAGTCTAATAGGGGACAAAGCTCGAAAGATAGAGAATAAAACAGATTGGAAAAGGTTCCCTCTCTGTGCTTTAGTCTGGCATCCTCAAAAGTCAGATTTTTGGGTTTTTTAAATACTCATTTTTAAAGACTGCAAACCCCCTACAACTAAAGTCATACTGTTCTGTGCTTCTAACATATTTGATGATAGCATGCAATACTATCATCGCTATACCCATTCTATACTTGTGTCTTTGGAGTCATGACTCCTATTTGTATCACAAAAAATGTGATGATGATAAATTGCACTGCAAACATATACCAATAATTTATCAAAGCTGAATGTATTAAAGTAACCTTTCACCTTAATGGCTTTAATTGAGTACACATCAGTACAGTAGCTATAACTCCTATTGGATTGCTTAAAGTAGTATTAGAAAGTGCTTGCGAAGTTTCTCAGTGAAGCCACTATTAAATCAACTGTAATTTTACAAAGATATAATTTTAAGTTCAATAAAAAAATGTTTACCTATTTCGGCTAACTTCTCAATGTCTATATCAGACATGCTTTCTGTTAGGAACAAGCCTATGTCTTGCTGGTTGATATTTGCTGGATTCAGCTCTTTTTGGTTCTCAGTCAATCCTAGAAAAACAAACAGTTATCACCACTATGAAAAAACCTTCAGCTTTTATTTGCATTGTACACATCTAAAGAAAAAAAATCCCATTATTCAATCATAATCACGTAATTGGAGCAAAATACTTTTTATTTGGTAAAAATGATGTTACAGTAAAGAGGATTATACTAGGTTTTGACTTAGCAGTCAAGCTACTGCACAGCGTAATAACAGGATTTTCAGATCTAGATCATTATTTATTTTAGATTTTTTCCCTTCTTCAAAACACATTTAATATATTGTGACTACAGCCATCAGAATTAAGGCATTGTCAATAATCTCTTCTTGGGCTACATCACTCCTTTTATTCATCTCATATCTATCATTTCCAGGAGGAAGCCTATACTCCTATCACAGTTGCCATCTTTATTTTGTTCTGTCACAGCAATAATTCTGATTTGATTAAATGTATTTCATATCAAACAATCATGAATACTCAGGTAAACATAATACCACTAAACAACTGCTGAAGCTACACAGCACCTCAGATATTTTACTGAGGCACAGAGATATTAAGTGATTCCCCTGAGGTCAACACTGCTACTCTGCATCAGGAATTGGATATGGAATTTGTAAGTCCTGTCTTCCAAAATCCTGCTCCATTCACTAGATAATACTGCACTTCTCTTAAATGAAAAATCTAATTCAAACTTAGGTCAAAAGAAGATCAAGCTTTTCAAACTCTTCCTTTGCTTTCATTTTTAAAAATAACATGATTCTGTAATTGTTTTCTTTATAACATTAAAAAGAACACTGGTAAATTCATGGCTGGGCTATAGAAAAGTTCACACAAGCACACTCAAACTTTGTGTGTGCGGTGGGGGGAGGGGAGATCCTCTTTTTTTTTTTTTTTTTGAAACTACACTAGAAATAGGTTTTTAAAAAAGCCTTAGAGAACTGAGATATTACTAGTATCCCCTGTATGAAGTAGGGGCTAATTTCAGCAAAGCACGTAAACACGTGCTTATCTATAAGCATAAGTAAATCCCATATTAAACACATATCTACAAGCTTTGAATTTGGACTGACATCAATAGAATGATCTTGCATAAAATGCTAATAGTACATGTGAACTACCTAGTCAAAAGCCTTTCTTACAGTGTTTGGACAGAGTTCTCCTCTTCTTTCATCAGATGCCTTACCTATTTTGTTACATATATTTGAGAATTATGAACACATAACCACTGCTGGCCAAAGTCAGTTAGGGTGTGTCTACTCTGCACTGCAGCTCAAAATAAGATATGCAATTTGAGCAATGCAAATTGCATATCTTATTTCGAAATAGCTTATTTTGTCTACGCAGAGCCAGATTTCAAAATAACCTGCTATTTCAAAACGTCCCTTACTCCTTGTGGAATGAGGTTTACAGGGACGTCAGAATAGCAAGCCCATTACATTTCAAAATAACAGGCTTGCTGTGAAGATATGGGATAGCTATTTTGGGATACTCTGATATCCTGAAATAATGTTGTAGTTTAGACGTACCCTTAGGCTGCAACTCGACAGCAGCAAATGCTAATGCACTGCTTACAGCATGACTGAATCGGGGCCCAGCTCTTTAATTATGTTATTTTAAGAACAAGGTTGACAGGGCACACAAATTCACTGCATATCAGACAGAGATGATTATAACAGAGCTCACAAAGAGGGTTAAATTATAGCTGTTGAAATGCTGAATTTCCATTCTATGAAAAACATTGACATTTAAAACAATTTTTTCCTCTAAAAACAAAAATATGTCAAAATTTTGAGATGTTCTGTGAAGCACTATAAAAAAAATCCTTTTGGCTAAATCAAGAGTTTTGAAATTATTTTATTTTTATATTATTTTAAATTAGGGTTTTATATCTTTTTAAAAATATAATGTAAAATAATTGATGATTGGTACTTTAAACAGAACTGGAAATTGGTAATTGACATTTACCATAATGAATTACCAATGTGATTGGCTTTGTAACGCGTTGTTGATGTAGTAATTTGTATTCTAATTAATTTGGTACTGTAACTGCTATTTAGTTTGCTTATTGGTAATTGGTCTTTCAACTGCTGTTGCATGCTTGGTATTCTAATTTGTAATTAGTTTTGTAAAAATTAAAATATATAAACATATACATTTAAAAAAAAAAATCAGGAATGAAAAATCATTCTGTTCCAGTAAGATTCACGGTTTTGACCTTTTCAAAAACATGTCACTTCTGGTAAAACAATGGAAGAACATTCCACTATAAATTTTTGATCAGCCCTAGGCGAATCTTGCATAGTTTATAGCCTCATACACATCTCTGTGTTAGGCCCCAATTCAGCCAAGTACTGAAGCATTAAGTGATTTGCTCAATCTGGAGGTTAATCATATTGACACGGCTCACCGAACTGCAGCGAGCCCTGCTCGCCAGCCGCGCTGTCCAGCGATCTGCGCATGTGCAGACTGCCCAAACCCGGCTCTTCCGGGTTACAATCTACTCGCCACAGGCGAGTAGATTGTATAATTTGTCAAGCCCTGCATATTGAGATGTCCGTAACTATACAGCCAATTATCCTTTTTATTAAATTCTTCCAATTTATCTTCACTACCACTTATACTCTGGGCTGTCAGAATGTCCAACTCAACAGGTAATCTTAAGGACAAATAAAGCAATTGAGTGGCCACTATTAACAGGTCCGCTCATTTCCTGAGGCCTTTCACCTCAATCAAGTGCTGCAAGCCACACCTCAGTTACCCTTTCAGATAGGCAGACTACAGAGGGAAAACTGTATCTCACTGCCAGACCCACATGCAGATAGGGATGTAAAAAGCAATTAAAATACTTAAACAGTTAAATGATTTGTTAACCACCAGCCACAGCTGGGAGCTGCTCTGCCACAGGCTGCGGGGGCTGCTCCAGCCCTGCTTTATCGTCGGGCGCCATACCACCATGGGCACCACTCCATCCCATTGACCCATGGGTGCTGCTCCGGCGTGACCCTGCTGCGCCATGGGTGCCAGGGGCTGCTACAGCCCAGCTCCGCTACGTTCGGGCCCCCATAGGCAGAGAGGGTTGCTCCCTCCAGCTGGGTCTTCCAGTTAAATGGTTACCTGGTAAGCATGCCAGTAAGGTAATCAGGTAACCGGCTAACTGTTCAACCTTTTACATCCATACATGCAGGGTTGCCAGACTCCGCTGGATTCCATCCACTTTGGTTTTTTCCCTTCCAGGATGACTCAAGTGACATATGTCAGGTCTGGCAGGCCACAGATATTGCTGGAACAGAGAGCCTGGCTGGCCAGATTCAGAAGTGCACCCTGGGCCGGTGTGGCAGGGTGGTGGAGGGTGCAACCCCAGCCAGAGCTGACAGTGGGAAGCACAGCCCCGGCTGGGGCTGGTGGCAGCAGGGTTGGACCCCAGGCAGGGCTGGCGTGGTGGCACGCTAGAGGAAGTGGGGCAGTGGCAGAGAGCATAGTCCAAGCCAGGAGCAGACATCCCGGTGGGGAGCCATGACCTCCCCTGGTCTGGCAAACTCCATGCTTCGGGACCACTCAGGTTCTGAGGATGCTGGACCAGGGAGGTCTCACCTGTACATGTAAAGCAAGGACTCGGGAGGTGAGGTGCGTATTGACTGCACACAACATTGACTGTGCATGCCCTCTGCATCCAAAGTGCTACTGTAGTCCAACTGGCACATCCCACAAATTATGGTATTCAGGTACAGTTAGCAAGACTACCCTATCCCAAAGGACAGTCTTGGTTATGACAATCTTGCAGTCCACTGAGATGAAAGATTGCCATTCACTTGTTTAGGTTACCCATTGCTACCTTAGACCTTTCCATACCACTTCAAACTTAAAATCAACATCTATATTATAGAACATAATAAGGCCCTCATCTTGAAAGTTTCTGCATGAAAACAGGGAACCAACAGAGCAGAGAAGCTTGCAGGATCAGGGCCAAAAAGAATTGAAGTTACAATAATGCAAGAAATATTTTAAACTTGTTCTCACTTTAAATATCACTACTACAACCAGAAATAACAACACTCTTAAAAAATTAAAAATCCAGTTCCACACTGAGGATTTTTTTTTTCCAGCTAAAGTACTCACGAACAACAGGGTTACAGATAAACTGAGTCTCTGAATATTGCTATAGCGAACACTCCAGTATGCTTAGGGGGAGAAATGAAAACCTGAACAGAAGTAAAGAAGTAGTAATATTTCATACAGTTACCTTCTTAAGACTCAAATTGGGTAAACTTTCTCTTTTATATTAAAAAAAACAAGTTATCCTGTATCACTTTAGAGACTAACAAAAATCCACATATAGTGCCATGAGCTTGCGTGGGCAAAATCCACTTCCTCAGATGAAAGTTGAGAAAAAAGGTTCCTCTTCTTCATACCCTTCAGAAGGAAGGGAAAAAATGCTCCTTCTCTTTAATGCTAATTGGGCCACACCTTCTAGCTTTAATAACGTGATCTGAGCAGAAACATTTAAACAACCCCACAAAACTGCTCAGTAAGGTCTGATTTCTGCCAAGTAACATTACTATACATGTGACAGCAACAATTCTAGTCTTCAATATTCTCCACATATTAGGAAGAAAAAGAAAAAGGGGGACAGGGAAGCAACCATTTGCCTGGTTTGGGGCTTATTTTTCCCTTGGGGGCTACAATTAGAAAGTTTCTAGTTACAAGACAAATTTATTGCAGCACCCTTCACAATTGATTTCCTCTTGACCGCAGCATTCTCTGTTCCTCAGTGATAACATAATCTCTTCAGAACATTCTATGCCAAACATCACCATCTCTGATAAACTACCAGACTTAACTCTCTTGCACCATCTCAAATTTTTTTCTGACAGATGTTTGGAATCATTTTACAATATACTACAATCTGTATCTCTTCATATGCAAGATGGTTTGCAAACAGCCCTAAAAGTTTGTTACTTTTAAAAACAGCAGTCTGATAATGAATTAGCATCTATGATATTTCAAACAAAGGCAAGGGATCCCTCACAATATTTGTCAATATATGAGCCTCTTTGATGCCTCCTCTTTTTTGTTCCTTCAGCTGTTTCTTATTCAAATGTAAATAGAATGCTTTTGCTCGCATTTTTTCCTAACATTCCGACCCCTACAATAATTGAGATATAAATAATATATAGGCTCAATATTTTTTTATGTAACATAAGGTGCAAAAATGAACTAGAAAGGTTTAAGATGATTATTTTATTATTGGCAATACAAAAAAAATACAATAAGAAACCCAAAAGAATTTTTCTCTCTCATACATATGAAGTGAATGAACTGTTATGAATAATTTATTCAACAAATTTAGCCTCTCTTCCTTTCCACGGACTATCTTCAAGGAACTTATAATTTTCTCAATTTATTTACTATTTAGTGTAATGGCGGTCCACAGGCTAAGTGCAGCCTAACAGGATGCTATGTGTGGCCCACAAGACATTTTGTTTACCATTGGCCATGAACAGTGTTACCAGATTCTGCTGGTTTCCATCCACATCGTTTTTTCCTACCAGTATTACTGAAGTGACATGCACAATCAAGCAAGGACACATGAAGTGAAGAACATGCTGATTGCACACAACATTGACTGCAAGAGCCTTGAGCTCCCTCTGCATCCAATCACGGCGCTGCTGTGCTTCCATCAGTACTCTCCGTAAATTCTAGGTACGCACACGCAGTTAGCCTCCTGGGATAGGGTAGTTTTTCTATCTTGGTTACGATAATCTTGTGGCCCACTGAGATGAAGGAGAGCCACTCACATGGCCCACTCACTAGTCTAGGTTGCCCATCACTGATTTAGTGCGTACTAAGAATGATTACCGTGTTTTAGCGCATATAATCCACGGGTTATACAAAGTTTTACAAATCCCGCTACTCCCCCACGGGGTATACATGTCCGCGGGGTATACAAGTTTATTTTTACTTGCCTGCACTACGCTCTCCGTTCCCCCCACCCGGAGGAGGGTGGGTTGTGCCTGACTGCGGCTGCGTGGAGCCTGGGTGCGAGCGCGGCTCCCCTCCCGCAGGCCAGCCAGCTCTCCTGCGCTGTGCTCTCCGTTCCCCCCTCCCAGAGGCTGTGGCTGGTATGTACAATTACCAGGTACTTTAAAGTAGCGTATATAACCCGTGGGCTATACAAGTGCATGGCTTATCTAAGACTTTTTTTACACATTCAGGAAAAACCACGGGTTATGCATGGGTGTGAGTTATATATGCCAATTTACGGTAGTTCAAAGATTTTTTTCATGAGCAGTTTGTTGGAAGTATTTAATAGTCAATATTTCAGTTGCACTGATTCATTTCATATTCTCTAATACAGGCAGTCCCCGACTTACGCGGATCCGACTTATGTCGGATCCGCACTTACGAACGGGGCTTTCTCGCCCCAGAGCTCACAGGCAGCGGTCAGCCACCTCGAGCTCCGGGGCGAGAAAAGCTGCTCCCGGTGCCTCTGGTCTGCTGGGGACCGTCTCCAGCAAACCAGGGGCACCGGGAGCAAAGCGGTCTGGTGCCAGAGCAAAGCCTCAGAGGCGCGGGCCCCCGCCGCTGCTGCGGGTTTGCTCACGGTGCCCCTGGTCTGCTGGGGACCGTCTCCAGCAAACCAGGGGCACCGGGAGCAAAGCGGTCTGGTGCCAGAGCAAAGCCTCAGAGGCGCGGGCCCCCGCCGCTGCTGCGGGTTTGCTCACGGTGCCCCTGGTCTGCTGGGGACCGTCTCCAGCAAACCAGGGGCACCGGGAGCAAAGCGGTCTGGTGCCAGAGCAAAGCCTCAGAGGCGCGGGCCCCCGCCGCTGCTGCGGGTTTGCTCACGGTGCCCCTGGTCTGCTGGGGACCGTCTCCAGCAAACCAGGGGCACCGGGAGCAAAGCGGTCTGGTGCCAGAGCAAAGCCTCAGAGGCGCGGGCCCCCGCCGCTGCTGCGGGTTTGCTCACGGTGCCCCTGGTCTGCTGGGGACCGTCTCCAGCAGACCAGGGGCACCGTGAGCAAACCCGCAGCAGCGGCGGGGGCCCGCGCTTCTGAGGCTTTGCTCTGGCACCAGACCGCTTTGCTCCCGGTGCCCCTGGTTTGCTGGAGACGGTCCCCAGCAGACCAGAGGCACCGGGAGCAGCTTTTCTCGCCCCGGAGCTCGAGGTGGCTGACCGCTGCCTGTGAGCTCTGGGGCGAGAAAGCCCCGTTCGTAAGTGCGGATCCGACATAAGTCGGATCCGCGTAAGTCGGGGACTGCCTGTACTGGCTTACATCACCTCTCTTCACAGACACCTGTATCTCCATTTACCAATTTCTTCTTTTTTTGGGGGGGGAAGAGGTGTCATCTCCCTTTCTATTTTTTCTCCTGATCATCTCTTTTATGTCGGGCAGTTGTTTAACATGTGGACATTCACATAAGTAACTTACCAGACAACAATGCATAGGACCAAAATCTCCAGTCCGCTAAAGTTACTTGTGGTATGATCTATTTGATGGAGAAATTCACTTGCACAGGGGAACTCTCCTGCCATAGAAAGCTGGTGATGCGGATCTGCTGCCTCCAGCTCCAGTCATTTCCTGACCTCTGGGTTTAAAACAGGGCACATGTGAGGAGCCTTGTATAGTGCGGCTGGTGCCTGATGGCACTTCATTCCACCATGTCAGTGGCAGAAATTAGAATAGCCCAGTGCTGTGCTAAATTCTGCCATGGCTGGGCAACCAAAGATATGTGAGCTGCAAGTCACTCTTTGTACCTGTAACGGGGTCTACCCTTCGCGCCTTGGTGGCTGAGGGGAGTCTTACAGTCTCTACTCACCTGTCTGCAGGCAAAGCAGTGTCCAGTAAGCGGACGGAGATCAGGCCTCTTCTTTTACCCCCCTCTCCTCCCGGGTGCAGTTTGCAGGGAGATTGGGGGAGACCCAGGCCCACCCACTCCTCTGGGTCCTGGCCCAGGGACCCTACAAATAGTAGTTACCAGCTGAGTTTCAAGTAATTAGTTGCTGTCAAGTCCCTGGGCCACTTCCCCAGGATGCTGTTCCTTCCAGCCCTTCTCTATGGCCTTGTGATCAAGTTCCCCTTGTCTAGGGTTGTCTTTGGCTAGCCTTCAGCTGTAGCACCTGGCTCTGACCAGGTATTATGCCCAGCTCCCACCTGGAGCTGTCCAGACTGCTGGTGTTCCCCAGTCAGCACTGAGGTCTGCCTGGGTTGAGCTCCAGTACGGAACTGATAGGCCCTGGCCTAGCAGCTCCTTTTATATCAGCCTGCTGCACCCTTATTGGCTGCAATGGAGGCTGCCACTCTGTTCTGCTCGGAGGACCTCTCTACTGCTCCGGTTGCTGGCCAGGCTGCTAAAAGGCCTCCAGCAGGGATATTGGGCTTTGTCCATGCCATCATAGTACCCATCAGTCTCCACTAGGTCCGAATGCAGCTCAGAGACAGTGGCAAATCAAGGACCCGTACAACCATAAGGTATCCATAGAAATCATGTCTATTTTACTAGTAGGGATGTAAAATCCCGATCAATCAGGTCAAATGTTGGTTAACTCACCTAAATGGGATCCCAAGTGAGGAACCACTTCAACTCAGCTGGAGCAGTCCCAGCCTGCAGCGCTCCTGTTCCCAGCCCCATGTAGGGCTGACTGCCGGCTCCTGACCCCAGCTGTCAGCCCCCCGGGGCGAGCTGCTGATTGGCAGCCCTGTGCAGGGGCCTGGCAGGACTTAACCAATCTTCTGTCTGTGGCAGGCCATAGGTGGGGCACTGCTCCCGGGGAACTGGTTGCAGTAAGTATCACTCAGTAATGTTACCCGTTCACATCCCTATTTACTAGTGACAGAAAAATTCACCCTCGCCTTACTGCAGTGGTCACCAATCAGTAGGATCAGGATCTACTGGTAGATCTTTGAGCCTCTGACAGGTGATCTTAACTGGTTTGCCAAGAGGCCATAAAGTGCCAGCACTTCAGCTGCCCCTCCCCACACTGCAGTGTACCTCCTGCCCTTTGCCTTGGAGTTGTCCCCTCAAGAGCCTCCTGCTTTCTGGGTAGGCAGGGGAGTGAGAGAAGGGGTGCTGATGTCAAGGTGCCCCCTCCCACTCTGTATCCTTTCTCCACAGAGCAGAGAGGGGGCACAACAGGGATGGACGTTGCTGGCTGCTTTTGGGAGTGGTGCAGGGCCAGGGTAGGGGTGAGCCTGCATTAGCCCCAGTGCACCACCACCCAGGAGCCATCTGAGGTAAACAATGCCCAGCTGGAGCCCACATCCCAAAACCCTTCCCCAGTCATGAACCTCCTCCTGTATCCCAAGCCCCTGCCCTAGCCCCGAGCACCCCTGTATCCAAACACCCTCCCAGAGCCTGCACCTAGAACCCCTCCTGCATCCCAACTGCCTGTCCCAGGCTCAACTCAGAGACCCTCCCACTCCAAATCCCGTAATCCAAGACCAGAGCCTACACCCCAACCCTCTGCCCCAGCCTGGTGAAAGTGAGGGAGGATGAGCGAGGGTGGGAGACGGTGCTTTGTTTGCGATGGTACTGCCCGGAACGGCGTACTGCCACCTATTTTCCCAGCCCACAAAAAGGGAATGGGATTTCCCCTGCACGTACTGGCACATGTTTTTCTCGGGCGGATTGGCTACTGACAGAAGCCTGCTCAGGACGCCCCCGGGGTTTTTCTTCAGGCACGGTTTTTTTTGTTTGGCTCAACAAGTTTTCCTTTTTAAAAATTTTTTTTGCTTAACAAGTGTTCCTTTTAAAAAAAAATTTCGCTTAACAAGTTTGCCCCAGAGTACTGGCACCTTTTTTCTTACAAAAAAAAGCACTGCACAACAGTATATACGAATATAACATAAGAACGGCCATACAGGGTGAGACCAAAAGTCCATCTAGCCCAATATCCTGTTTTCTGACAGTTGCCAAAGCTAGGAGCCCCCAGAGGGGAAGGACCAGAACAGTGACTAACAAAGACAGTAGTGGGCCTGCAAAGCTCATTAAGGGTATGCCTACAATACCGAGCTTTGTTGAGGAAACTAACGTTGACATGCAGAAGTTGCCAAAAAACAAAAGAAAGTCATCAAAGCGTGTTTACACTTGTTCACTCTGTTGACAGATTGTTTGCACTTTTAGACACCCCCCCCCGTCAATAGCGGGAACAATATATTATGAGTATGTATCCTACAGTGCCTGGCAAAACCATCTGTCACTAGGTATTGTGGGACCACAGAACAGAGTGTGGGGCATCTTGGGACCAAACCAAAAGTCCTGTCAGGCACTGCTTTGTTCAGGGGCTTCTGGAGTTTTTTCACACCCTTTTTCCAATTGCCATTCTCTGCTGTGCACTCCAGCATCTGCAAGAAAGAATGGAACCGGGTTTCTCTCACATGGTCTGTTAACTGTCACGAGGACCTCACAAATGGCAGTTGAGACCATACTGAAGCTACTGACAGAGGAAGACGACTTGGAGCAGCCTGACAGTGCATGATATGGACAGCGGCAACCTGTCATTGCATTTGGCAATCACAGAGCAGCTGTACAGGGTAGATCGTTGCTTCTGGGCTAGGGAAATCAGCACCAACTGGTGAGATTGCGTTGTTAAGCAATGCATGTTGGCTTACTGTGCTGCTTCACCAAGGACTTTAGGAACTCAGTCTGTTCCTTCATGACCCTGATCATGCGTTCTGTGGCCTGCAGGGCAAAGGCCTGGTTATCCTTGTGGTTCCTCAGTTCCCTTACCTAGCGCTGTTCCTGACATCCGCACTCAATTGAGAGTGATTTTGCACTTCACAAACCAAATCCTCCCTATTTTTCCAACGGCGCTTCCTTATCAGTTGCAAACTCTCAAAGGCACTGCACAGCGGGGCCGCCAGGGTCTCTGATAATTTACAGAAAATTTACAAGCACCTCTCCAAAACTTTGATAGTCTCTCTCTGCAGGATTCCACTGAGACCACAGCGAGCATCAACGTTCTGCTTGGCCCTATCGACAGGGATATATGCAGCTTCCATGCCTTCAGCATGAGTAGGTTAACATCGATTCCAACATTGTCACATTTCACTTACAAACCCCTTTTCCAACATTTCCACTCACTTTCCTGCTAGCACCTCTCCAAAACTTTGATAGTCTCTCTCTGCAGGATTCCACTGAGACCACAGCGAGCATCAACGTTCTGCTTGGCCCTATCGACAGGGATATATGCAGCTTCCATGCCTTCAGCATGAGTAGGTTAACATCGATTCCAACATTGTCACATTTCACTTACAAACCCCTTTTCCAACATTTCCACTCACTTTCCTGCTTATGCACTTTAATCATGGTGAGCAAAGGGTGGCTGTGGTGGCAGCTGTGCACACGGACAAAAGAAAGTCCAAACGGGCTACAAAATTCTCTTTGTAGGAACATAGTTCTCCAGAGGCAGGTAACACCCTGGCAGATATCTCCTGCCCAGGGTAATCAGGGTAAACAAGATACAACTTCTCCAGGCTTATGGCTTTCACTCAGCTTTTTCACCCTGCTCCTTATCCAGCTCACCTATGTTCTGCTTTGGTTCCTGTACAAATGATTGATGAATGGTTTGGGCTAGCGTGTAATATTGGGGGAGGGGACAAAGTAGCACTGCCCATGGAATCCGCAGCAGAAAATTTACAAGTACCTCTCCAAAAGTTTCAAAAGTCTCTCTCTGCTGGATTTCACTGTGATCACGGCGAGCACCAACATCCTGCTTGGCCATCTCAATTAGCTACACAGGGATACATGCAGCTCCTGAAACGCAGCCATTTTTCCATGCCCTCAGTCGATGAAGTGTCAGAACGACAGTTTGTTTCATGGGCTTTACGATGGGCTTGTCTCAGTTCTTTAATCTTTGCTTTGCAGTGAAGCGTGTCCTGCTCGTATCCTTTTTCACCCGAGGAGCAAGAAATGTGCCCGTATGTGTCCCAGGTCCTATGGGTAACTCACAGCTGGAGACAGACTCCTCTCCCCATACACTGATCAGATCCAACAGCTCCATGGAGGTTCAAGAGGGAGAGAGTTTAGTGCAATGGCTAGGCATGGACACCTGGGAAGACACCATGAGACCACTGCTGAACTAGCTCACAGTGGGTGCTCAGACCTGCAAGAAATGGGATTTACATTTCACAAGATTTGTGAGGGAGCAGGGAAGGTGGCTGATCACTTGGCTATAGGGCAGTGGAGTACAAACTCAGGGTACGTCTAGACTACAAGCCTCTTTCGAAAAAGGTTGTCTAGACAGCCACAAGAGTTTCGAAAAAGCAATCCTCTTTTTTGAAAGAGGGCACCCAGGCAATATGGATGCTCTCTTTTGAAAAAGACCTGTTTCCGTTCAAGAACCTTTCTCAAAATAGCGCTTTCGAAAAAAGGCATTCTTCCTGTTAAAAGTAGGTTTGCCAATTTAAAAAAAAAAATGCCGTGTTCTTTCAATTTAATTTCGAAAGAACGCGATGGCAATCTAGATGCAGGTGAAGTTTTTTTGAAAAAAGGACACTTTTTAAAAAAAACTCCGTAGTCTAGACACATCCTTAGAGTGGCTGGTTGGGAATTGTGGGACATTTCCTGTTAGGGACGTAAAACTCTGTTGAATTGGTTAACCAGTTAAACATAATGTTCAACTAGTTAACTGATTAAAGGGGGGCCAGGTAGGGTGGGGCAGGGGCTGCTCCAGCCTGGCTGGGCATGAGCAGACCCCCCACTGCAGGTAGGGGGTGCTGCGACTGGGCTGTATCACCTCCGCCTGCGAGGTGCCCAGCCTGCGAGGTGCCCATACTGGCTGCTCTGGCCATTAAGGGTGAGGCTTACTGGTTAACCAGCTAACCATTTACATCACTAAA